TGTTACAATGAATGGATTTGATTGATTGATTGATTGATTTGTGGGGTTTAACGTCCCAAAACCACTATACGATTATGAGAGACGCCGTAGTGGAGGGCTCCGGAAATTTTGACCACCTGGGGTTCTTTAACGTGCACTCAAATCTGAGTACACGGGCCTACAACATTTCCGCCTCCATCGGAAATGCAGCCGCCGCAGCCGGGAATCGAACCCGCGACCTGCGGGTCAGCAGCCGAGTACCTTAGCCACTAGACCACCGCGGCGGGGCTACAATGAATGGAACGCAATGACTATTGTAGTTGGACAGTAAGACGCACTTATTATTCGATCTTTTCTTAGAGTCAATGTAAAAAAAAATATTTTGTGTGTTGGTCCGACTCCGATATACGAAGCGCGGCAACATTGCATACCAAGAAAACGCAGACGTTCCTTCACGACGTTTGAAAATGGTGTCAATGACTCAAACCTGGCACGGGCCTATCGCCACTGGCACTCGTTGCCCCCCATCTCATGCTTTCTAGCGCAAACTACTACTAATTGGCGCCGCTATCCTACCCCTGCAGCAGTGCATGATGCGACAGCTGTGCCAAAAGACAAATCATGCTACATTTCCACTACTCTGCGCCAAAGGTGGCGTTTTCATATTTCGAAAAACGAAACGACAATCTCTCGAGGTCGAATCGCCCTGGCACACGCCCCACTACCGCTGCTGGGAGGACGCGTAAGGAAAACGAGCGAACTTGTGCAGTGCAGGTCGGATTACCTTTTCATTACACGACAAACCGCATATTTATTTTATTTATTTAACAATACTGTCGATCCCGTCAGGGATCTTTACAGGAGTGGGTTGGAAAGTGTCAACAAACATTCTATATTCACATACAATTGTATGGGTACAAAAAAATCATGGTATAAAATGATAACAATTATGGACCTACATTATTCACGAGGCACATGTATCAGTCACATGTGCACGCACTGAAAAAAAATACGAAAAAGAAAAATGTAAGCACGCAACATACAAAGTTGGTACCGACTTCCACCTTTTTAAACCACAAATGTACTGGCAGGGAGGACAATGGTCAGTACAATCCTGATAGCGTCACTATCATGTAGCTGATAGAACGGCTTGGCCAGAAAGTTCGTAAAATTTGTCGGCAGTGGGCTGCACAACCACCGTCTCGGGTAAAGCATTCCACTCTCGCACTGCCCGCGGGAAAAACGAAGAACTAAAAGTATTGTTGGTGCATAAATATTCTTGCAGTGTAAGGTGATGCTTGTGACGGGTTTCTCTAGAAGTGTTGAAAGAAATGTAGGTGTTAGAATCTACTTTAAGTTTGTTGTGTAGGATTAGGTACATAAATTTGAGTCGAGATAGCATGGCACGACTGGCTAGCGTGTGAAGGCCAACATCTGTCAGCATTTGCGTAGGCGAGTCGGCGCGCCTATATCTGTTACAGATAAAACGCGCGGCTTTGCGCTGGATGGCCTTAATAGTGGCTATGTGTTTTTGGGTAGACGGGAACCATGCCACGCTCGCATATCCTAAGATAGGGCGTATAATCGTCGCATAGACCAAGAGCTTGGCCCCTCTTGTCGAGTATCGCAAGGCCCGCTTTAAAAACATTAGCTTCCGCATCGCTTTGCCAGTCACGTGATCTACATGCGCCGACCATCCGAGATCTGACGATCTGACGACGCCCAAGCACTTGTACTGAGTGACTGTTTTAAGGATGATGCATTCATAGCCATACGGGAAAGTAAGTTTGGATTTCTTTTTAGTTACTGTCATTGCAACTGTTTTATCGAAGTTGATGACCATTTGCCAACTCTCGCACCATTGTGCTAACAAGGCGAAATCATTGTTCAAACTTATTTGATCTTGCTGGCTTTGTATTTCTTTATACAGGACGCAGTCATCTGCAAATAACCTAATTTTAGATTGAACCCTACAAGTTATGTCATTTTTAAACAAAAGAAACAGGATAGGAGCCAAAACTGAACCCTGAGGTACTCCAGAAAGCACCGGCATAACTTCAGAAGTGCTGGCGCCTAACTGGACAAATTGGCGGCGGTCAGTTAAATAGCACTTAATCCAGCGGAAGATTGGTCCATCCCCTAGAATATGTCCGAGTTTTTGGAGAAGCTTGGCATGGCAGACACGGTCAAAATGCCTTTGAAAAGTCTAGTAGAATTGTCTGTTTGTGTCTGATCGATTATTCCTTTAGCGAGATCATGCAGGATTTCTACACGTTGGGTAACGGTATAGAGACCAGCCCTGAAGCCATGTTGATGGGGATGGAGAACATTGTTTTCCTCGACGAACTGGGTAATAGATTTTAGTATAATATGCTCTAAAATTTTTGCAGCAAGTACATGTGAGAGAAATAGGCCTATAATTAGACGGAGAAGAAGGATTACCAGATTTGTAGACAGGCACTATTCTTGCCATTTTCCATTCGGCTGGGAGGCATTGTTCTGAAACTGACTTGTAAAGAAGACATAAGTATTTGCTTACGGGTTCGGCGTAGCGTTTCAGGAAGCAGTTCGGGATTCCGTCTGGGTCGGTGGACTTCTTACCGTCTAACTTCAATAGGAGCGAAAGCACGCCTGCTTCGGTTATGACTGGTGCACTTAGCGTCTCGTTTCTCTCTATATTTTCTGGCCTGTAGGCATGCGCAATGCCATTGTCAGGAGCACATACGGAATGGGAAAAAAAACGTTAAACGCTTCTGCTTGTTGCTTTTCTTCCTTGGGTGACAGTGGTTTTGCACTGCTTTCTTTACATCTAATATATCGCCAGAATTTTTGGGGTGAATGTTGGATAAAGTTGCTAAGCTCTGTACTGTAGTAGTGCTGCCTTGCTAACTTTGTTTCTTCTTTTAGCAGCCTGTTTAATGAATTTATTTTAGGGGCGAAGTTCCTTAGGGCGTGGGCTGTGCGTCCCCTGTAGCCTGTATGTAGCCACCCCTAGTTTAGTTCTTGCAGTGTTCACTAGATGGCGGTACCGTCCCCTGTGTGTAGCCACCTCTAGTTTAGTTCTTGCAGTGTTCACTAGATGGCGGTACCGTCTCCTGTATGTAGCCACCTCTCGTTTAGTTCTTGTAGTGTTTACTAGATGGTGGTACTTGTAGCTGATGATGAAAAGATGCAAGATGTTATAAACTAGAAAGCGGTACTTGTAGTTGATGAAAGACGAGAGATCTTATAAAATAGGAATGATGTCACATATGGCGCGTGTCATTGGTTGAAGGCAATCGTTCGATTTAGTGCGGCGACGTACGCTAGGGGGAGCGATGTAATAAAATCGAGTGGGCAAAATGTACAGAGGATTCATGGTTTACCAGGTTTACCTCCGGAGCTTCGCCCACTCATCATCATTCACTTCGTGGATATGGCGGAATTTTTTTTTTTTTTGTGGAAGTCCGGGTCCGGGAGGACCCTATTAGATTTCCTCAGTCTTTTTATTCTTCGTTTTAAGTTAATTACATCGCGCGTGATTCATGGGTTGTACTTGTTAGTGTTCTTTTGAATTTGTGGGATATATTGCCTCAAGCAGTGAATAACATGTGCTTTGAACAAGAGCCAAATCTCGTCTAAGCCAGCCGAGCCGTCTGAGACCAGTTCATGGAAGTTGTAGTACTCATGGGCTAGGTAGGTCATAATGGCATCGTCATCTGATCTGTTAAAGGCGTACACGGACTTTCTAGTACCACACTGAGCAACTTTTTCTGGAAGTGTTAGCGCACACAGAACCATATCATGGTCAGATATTCCTTCAAGGACTTCGACGTTGTATTTCCCTTTCAAAAAGAAGTCACTCAAAAAAACGAGGTCTAAGATGAAGCTTGAAGTGCCCTGCACACGAGTAGGCTGAGAAACAACTTGGGTAAGGTTGAAAGTGAACAGAAGACTTAGCAACATATTGTTTGTTACACTTGATGGGCATAGAGAGTTTCAATTAATATCGGGAAGATTGAAATCTCCTCCCATTATTATGCCGCTCCCCGCCATGTGAACTTGCATATAATCTAGAAGCTGATCAAGATATGACGCTTCGGCTTGGGGGGGTCTATATACCGCACCAACACAGACTTTATTCTGGCCTAGCTGAATCCTACACCAGACCGCCTCTACACCCGAAACGTCTGGCATCACTGTGTAACTTATGCCTTGTTTTAGGAGCATATATAGGGCAAGTCGGCAAAGGCACGCATATATGCTACATAGGGGGAATGACGTCATCCGTGAGGATCGCTACACAGAGTTTCCCAAAATTAACTAGAGGGCACTCTGGCGCTGCCATCGTCCAGCGACCATGGGAATGATGGGTAGTACACACATTTGCCTAGTCTTCGTACTTGCGGGCGGTGAATCGTACTTGCGGCTTCGTTTATTGCTGGTTACAATTTTGTTTTGAAAAAAAAAAAAAAAAGGAACCCTTTTGAACTTAGTGACTTGATTCAAAATGGTAAGCCAAAAAGAATAAGGTTGTGAAGCCCAAACGGTGAACATTTGCTAATTTATGTTTCCGTGAAAAAACATCTCCAAGCCACACGAACACACACGAAGCCAAAAGCAGGCCAGAAGTACGAATATTAGACAAATGTGTGTACTACCTATCATTCCCATGCTCGCTGAAGCGCCATGCGTTGCAGCTCCCAAAGACACTAGCGCCAGAGTTCCCTCTAGTGTATACTAGGAAACTCTATGGATCGCTAGCGTCGGTGTCGCCAGTTTGAAAGTCCGCGCGCTCGCCGCACGCGTTGTATCGGAGATCTGTACAGAGACTTGATTGTCTAGACTTCCGGAATTATGGTTCCCCATGAAAACCATGACAATCGCCGTTTTATTTATTGTTTCGCAGGCTTTTCGATAGCTTTACTAGAAAAAAAATTTGTTCGACCCAACTTTTGAAAACTATGCGGAAAGGGATACACAAACGGCCCCATGTATTGTTGGTTGCTATGAAATCGAAAATTGACGACCAGGTCACAGGGTTTGCAACAAGGCACAGTGCCTTTATGAGAATATGTTTCAAAACACAAGTGGTAACACACAGGTTCTACACTGCACCTGCATGAATCACTACCAAAGCACGTACCTATGCAGCATATTTTATTTCAAACAACACGGCACCAACCACTCTTCGCGTACAAAAAAAACAAAAACGCAGGCGAGTTAAAACTCAGGGAACTCAACAAAGCATTCTCTCAAGGACAAAAGGTCCCTGGGTCTTGGCCTAACCTGACCTTGCAACGGCAAGTGACAGACTGCACCCAGCCGTCATTAAATACGGTCTCTGTGCGACTGTGTGCGCGCAAGTGTGTGAGCGTAGTACAAAAGACTTCTCGAGTGTTGCCAACAACGTGGCAAGACGACTTCTGAAGGGGCACAAACCTTCAGTGCACACAAATGCACATGCACCAGTCTTTCACTACACACATACACCAAGTGAGCCATAGCGAGCAGCCAGCACTACTTTTCACTGAAAATGCCATACTTGCCAATACACCCATTTTATCAAGTACTCTAGCTGTACACTTTCTCAAAACCTACCTTTTCTGATTTACACTGCTCCACTGTGTAGGCTAAGATTACTAAAATAAGGAGAATGTATCGAGGGCCCGCACTATTGTTCCAGTGTCACCACACGAGTCTACCATCACTTCCAATAAAAGGTGCTCTACTGCTGACGAGGCAGTCTAGTTTCGAAACTCATTGCCGCAACACCAACAGCTGTGGACGATACGTTTTAGCCTTTCAGAGAGTACAACGGATATTACAAAATTTACAATATTGCTGCCAATAATTGTAACCTAGCATTGCATCACTAATAAAAGAAGTTCACTGCAATGCTGCACCTTTAATATTGCTTTTGCAACTGAAATATTTCTCCATAACATTGCTAAAAAAAAGGTAAGAGTCACTGCCTCGGCTGTTCTAAGTATCAACAAAATCTCACTGCGGGAGAGGAACATCCCATTCAGTGTAGCACGCTTCTGCTGGTACACAAATTCAAACAGCTTGGACGTTCGTGTCAGCGATGGCTTCAATATCCAGTAGCAGTCGCCAGATGCAATTATCCTCCACACAGACTGGTAGTTGCCCGCACGACAACTGTCCCACTATGAACCTCTTGAAGTCGCAGCACACAAGGCGGACTGTTCGGCACCTGTTCCGTACCATGCATCCCACTGAGGAACAACAGCACCGGTTGTACTACATACAGCCAGCACAAGGTCTTTTGTTCTGGTATGCCACAGTACAGTCCATTTTTTTCACTGCCAAAGAGAAAATAACAAAAACATGAATACCCCGTTCTGAACACTTCAACAAGCCGTCCCTCGATGTGTTCAGAGTCTGAAAAGGAAAACCATCCTTTCTTTATTCTGCAGAGCAGGATCGTCCAGTGACACCAATCACACTCACAGCCACATGTGGTGCCACGGTCGGGAAGAGCAAGTTTGAAGATGATTCCTACGACGGTGGTTCTTCTCTCACTGCACGTGGGCCCACGGTGCCACGCGGAGAACAGAGGAGGTTATCTGTGCCCACAGACCACGCCTAACAGAGGCACTGGATGAGGGGGGGACTTGCATGGCACGGCCGGAGACCCCAGGGTCATTCCTCTGGCCGCACATGATTGGCTGACGACTGTGGTGGTCGGAATGCAATGGCCAAAGGAAAGCGCTCGTGGCAAGCAGCGCGAAACAGTGCCAGCTCCGCTTCACACGAACCCATGTCTCCCTTGGTCAGGCATTCGAGAGTTCGTAGGCAGTTCTGCACAAAATCAATCAATCAATCAATCAAACTTTATTTCAGGAATGCATACATTACATGAATAAAATTCTACAGTACAGAGGAGGTCCCGAAGTTAGAAAACTGTCGGGGGGACCTCCGTTAGAGAATAAGTAAATTGCGATAACAATGCAGCAAGCAGTGAAAAACACTTTGTACGAATTAAACAATGAAGTTGATAATTTAACCAATATCTCAGGAAAGTCATTTCATGTTGTTATGCATGTATATGATAGTGCCCAGATTCCAACAAACGGCTAGGAAAAGGTGCAAGATCAATTAAATTTCCTTGTCCTTTGCCACTAGGCTAGTATGAAAGTCTTAATGCATGCTTCTTTTACGTTCTGGCAGTGGAACTCTTTTATTGAAGTTCCCACAATGTATACAAAATTACCCTTGAGCTTTCACGTCAAAGATGAGAAAGTAACGTGAACTGATGTAAAAAGATGGTTATGAATTACCTCAATAGTGACTCCCTCCAGGTCATTGTTTAGAGATGTCACCATCTGAAGAGCCTGCTTCTGCTTGGATGTGTCCAGGAAGTACATCATTCGGCAACCTAGAAATGGCAACATTGGGATGTACTTAGGAAAATGGAAGCTTCATATTACGCCATGAGTTGCTGAAAAATGTGAAGTGACCGAGAAAAAAGAACAATCTAAGAATATTGTAACATATACACACCTTCGAGTAAGTGTGGGAAAGAGCGTGAATGCTGAGCCAAAAACTCTTCATTCAGCTGCTGTGCATCCTTTGACTGGTACAGTTCAGCCATTTCTTTCTCCAGTACTGTTACAATAGGCCCTGGGAGGTCCTTCCTCTTTGACACTGAAAATAGTGGCAGGCAAAAAGACTGTCAGGCAGAAACAATGAAAGTCTTCTCCCCAGCGCCCACTTTCTTGTGTAGTTATATGTTTGCACCAGGGGTTAAATTCACATCAATTAGGTTACATGAGGACACATGCCTCACTAATGTGGATGAGAGCTCTGTCACAGACCCTTTACTTTGTGTTCTATGACATTGGTGCACATAAGGAATGCTTCATTTGTTCTTTGCACAATAAGTATAGTGCAATAACTGCAGGTTCTTAGGCAACATATAACACTTCGATAGAGAAATATCAAGGTGGGCCCAAGAGGCAGATAAGCTATTTACAATCTGTGCACCCCCCCCCCCCCTCCCAGTGCATATCTTGTCAAGGGTTCTTCCGCATGATCATATTGAAGGTCTAAATGGGAAAATTAAGATTTGTCACACCTTGTTGCAAGGCAAGTTCAATAGCTGAGCCCACATTCACAGGCAGCCATATAACCATTGTATTGCATCAGACATGTTAAGAGGAAAAATTAGGATATGGAGGCCCTGAAAATTGGTCCTGCAACACTTTCTAAACATGTTAAAGAAACGCTGCCGATTGCTGCCAAACATACGGTGCAGCAAGTAGAAAGGAACTTTTCTAGCCAATTTCTATCCTGTTTCAAAGTTTGAAATCGGCTGAAATTGCTCACTCTTTTCTGGACAAATGATGCTGTATACCCAAATCCACTACATCATACATCCAAAAATACAAGGCCACTGGCTGATTTGAACATTGTCAGCTACATAGTTATCACAGCCACTGCGGCACCTGTAAGCAAGCTGCGCACAAAGTTTGTAGGAAAGACACCCATATGTTCGAAGAAAACAAGAAAAAAAAGTGCTCCCTTTCATCCTCCTCCTCCTTACATAATAGTTTGAGGGGGCACTGACAGAAAATTTTTCACTTTTTTGTTGCATGAAATGATAGGCCAAGCCCATAGGAGCATAGGAAATGTGCCGGTAAGCATGAGTGTGTCCTGAAAAATTACAGCAACCTTTTAAAAGCCAGTTTCGGTTCCTACTGCACCGAGACGTCATGACATGGTAGCAGCAGCGCCACCAGGGGTAATGTGTGCATGCTGAAGTTTTCGTGACGTATCCTCGTCTGCGCGCTGCTACTTCAATGGTCTGCTGCTTGCCGCACGTGTGGCAAACTCGTGGCAGTTGGGGGGGGGGGGGGGGGGCAAAATGTTGCAAGTGTACGCGTACGGAGTGGAGTGCAGCTGACGGTCTACTCGTCGACCGTGGCGAACCCACGAAGTCGACCTATGCTTGTCTCTGTCGGATTGGAGAGAAATCGGTGGAACTTGCACCTATTGTCCGTTTCACTGGTGCAAGATAATTCACAGGGCATAATATTGGTGCCAAGACGACAAATTTGAAGTCAGGTTCCTTTGTCCTCTGATTAACGTATATCTTGTATTCGCCTGCACATAGACTATTCCAGACTCCGCTAGCTCGATTCACCGGTAAACTGGAAGACGGTGATCGCACAACGCAAGCAGACGACTGAGAAAGCAATGAGCAAGCTGCCATTTTTTGCATCTTGGTGCTTGACATCAAGTTATTGTTGATGTTGGCAGGCGCGCCACGAGAAATTTTATTTTAATATCAAAATAAATAAGATATCTCCATTTACTGAGAGTCCCACCCGCTCATAGCCAAGTTTGTATACATGAGATTAGTATGACAAAGTAAACTTAAAGTGTGCTACAAATCTCTAAATCCACTCCTACTTGATGGATTTCAAAAGTATTTCTGGTAGTCACTTCGTGAGTACTTGAAGAACTGTTGCAGGGACTCTACAAGATCTACAAAAGAGCACGCACCCAGTCCATCCACACACAGCACGGTGTTTGGGTTATGCACTTACCCAGGCTGTGGAAAGTGCACATGTGGGCATGCAGACGGGGGCACTGAGGATCGAGGCGGAAAGCTCGCTTGATGGACTGCAGCATGAGCAGGGGCCGATTCTTGCGCAAGTAGATCTCAAATGCAAGGAGGTGAGTCTCCAGTTGCTGGGCACCCAGCTGTTGCAGCGGTCGCAAGAACTGGATTGCCTGCTCCAGGGGCTCCTCTGTCTGCACAGTGCAAAAAGCATCCTCCCTGCCTAACGAGAATTTTTATGCCGAAGTAACCATTCCACTTATTATTCATTTTAAACTATGTAAACAGAGAAATAAAAATGCACCACTAAAAAAATTAAAGCTGCACTGCTAAAAAACCGCAGAACGGCCCCATCGAACAGAAGTTCTTGCAACAGGATACAGGTAATTAATGACCTAATGATATGCCAGGACAACAACCTACAACCTTCTTATTCAACCATAATTATTCGAGCCACTCCACACCCCGTTTCTCAGTCCTCTCGCCTGAACTATTCCGCGACCCACCCCCTTCAATAGAGAGAGAGGGAAAGTCAGTTTCGCCGCAAGGGCAAAGCAATGATTGCGATAGCAACAACTTGGAATGTAACGCTGAGGACGGCAAGCAAATCTAAACGTGCAGTGGGGCTGCTGCTCACGCACCAATGACGCACGAAAACAACGTACACAGGACGAGGGCGAACTAATAACGCTTATCACTCGACACTTAACACATTGTTTAAACAAAAAACGACACGCGAAACAGTCACAAAAACAGATCAGTGCAAACTAACAAGTGTCCCAGTTGTTATACTTCGCTGTCTATGAAAAGCGCGTTTCTTTCGCAAACGGCGCGTATACAGCGAGCGAAGTGATCTTCGTGCGCCCGGCAACTAAACGCAACCGTTCCGGCCGAAGTCGAAATTGGGCGATCCCCCCCCCCCCCCCCCCCCCCCCCCCCCCGCGGAACAAAGTACGCGTGGGTAATAAGCGCGCGAGCAGCCTTTTTTTTTTTTTTTTGAGTTCTCACATGTACAGATACGTATACATATACGACGAATGACGGCACGGCAGCGACGGTAAAAAAACCAGCTGACTGCGCATAAAATTGTATCGCAATAAAAAAAAAAAAAACTACTGGCTTTTCGCACGGACTTAACAGATGAGGCACCCTCCTTTGGCGAGCGCCCGATTCGCCCGAACTCTCAGATGCCCGACACGGCTTCCGCGTTACAACGAGAGATGGCGACACGATCGCGGCACTCCGACGATTCATCGCTTGAACGCCCTCGGCCACGTCTGGCGCCTCTTTCAACGCAGGCCGCACGCATTTCGTAATACTTTCCAGCTTTGCGACAACGGATTGAGGACGTGGACCTTCCACAGTGTCCCGTATCGTTCACGTTTTTTGAAGGGCTCGCGCCCGCAGGATGGTCTATGGTTGCGGTGCTCGACTGCTCACCGAAGGTCGAGGGATCGAATCCCGACCACGGCACTTCGATGACGGCAAAATAACTGAGGCCCGTGTTCCGGAGTTGCGTGGAGGGAACAGCAGAACGTCACAATGAAATTGGAAAGACTAGACAAAAAGTGAGCCAACATTATAGCCAATCGAAAAAAGAAGCAAAAGCACTGACTTCAATAGGAAAACAAAACGATCCGATACGTCACATTTAAGTGATTTTATTGTTTTCAGAGTTTCTATTACTGCAATGCTTCCTCCCCACTCGACGAGATTCAGTCCAAGCCTGGATTTCATCTTTAGTCAAAGCTCGGAAACGCGGCCAAAAGAAACAACGCGCGTGTGTGTGAACACGACTGCGACGTTTTTATGTCATTGAATGGGAAAAAAGATTCTGGAAAAAAAAGATAAAGAATAGAAAACAAGATAAAGCCTGAAACCCTCGCAGTAAAAATTGCTGCAATTCACAGTGAATTGTCAGCGCAACCGACCATTTCGTGCAAGATGAAGTTTATTGCGCTGATACCGTGAGATCGCTTGAAAGGGCTGGAAGCAACTGCCATGAGGCGACAAGAAAAATGAGTAAGGTATATGGTATATATCAACATCACATTTGGGGGGAGGGTGCGGGTGGAAGCATAAATTGCAGTCTACTTCACCTTCGCAATCGCATTACCCCCCCCCCCCCCCCTTTTTTTTTTCGCGCGATGCCAACCACATTCGGCACTTACTGTAAAGTCAACCACAGTTAGCAGTCATTGTAAAGTGAATGAGTGCAGAGCACCCCGGATGTGGTGCGCCGTTCATTGTGCTGTTCAGATTCCATTTGGCTTTAATGTCGCGTTCAGCAATTCAAGCGCTCTAAATATTCAGGCTCCATGCAAGACAGGCCGGTAGCTGGGGGAGGGACATAACCCCCCTCCCCCAGCTCTTATGGAGGAAGGCGTTTTACCAAATATAAGTAATGAAAAATGGGCGTTTTTCTGAGAAAAAAAAAGCCAAAGGCTGAATATCATGACTATATTTCGAAGGCTCTAGTTGCTGCTCTGTTTAAATATTTGTAGTATACTTTTGTCGGTGAAGGAGTAATCCTAATGTTCCCGAGCTAAAGCTTGCGAACATTGGCTTAAAATAAAAATGTAGAATTCTCAGGCTATTTTGAAAATCGCCACCTCAATAGTCTAGAGGCCTGCTTTGAAGATTGTTGTCATACTACTCAAAATCTATATATCCGAACAGTATATTCTATTCGGTTCTAAACTTCCTTAATAATCGCACACCCCTAGGGGTGACGTACGACGCAAACCAGTCTGGTCGGGAAAATTCTTGGCGGGAAACAGCCAATCGTTGCAACAAACAAAAGTGACGTTTCGTATTTGTTTCTATCGAGAGGTGCTTCCACATTTCCCGCCACCCCACCCAAATGCGTACCCTGGCCAGCTTGTCGGGCAACAGTTCCTCGTCCCGCACACCGTCCATCTCGCCGCCGTCCTGCTGCGCTTGCTGCGCCTGCTGAGCTTGCCGGGACTTCTGCTTCTCCTGCGCCAGGGTCTGCTTCTCCTTCTCCTGCTCGGCTCGCCGCCGGGCCTTGCGCTGTTTGCTCTTCAGCTTCTTCAGCTCTCCGGGGGCCATGTTGGCTGCGTGCAAGAAACAGAGAATGCGCCCGCACTTACATGCTGCCTGCCCCCCAGGTCTGCAGCGCTGTAAACCACTCGCCACTGTCCGTCGCCACGCGCGAAGAAGACAAACCTACGATGTTGCGTGTCCAGCATGTTCGCACTTGCACCATCAAATTGTACATTTTCCTCGAACACGAAAAAAACGGTGGAACGGCGGTTTAGCATGAAATCATGACGTGGTGATACTGGCATGTGACTGCTAATTTATGAGGTTTAGCAGCAACTCAGGTTGCAGGAAACTCCGTAACGGAAGGCCTACAAGTCTCCATCGTGTCACATGAAGCTCCCTTCTATCATTTCTTTCTCCCTCCTTCCGTGACAACTCTTCATTTTTTATGCAAGTTGAAAGTTACAGCTCTCAAAGTCAATGACATACTTAAAATAAATAAAAATAAACAAAGCTTCAAGACGTTAAAAAGTATCACGCATGCACTTTAAGATCAAGAAGTGGCGACATCCTTATACTAATTTTTTGTGCGAAACTATCTGAGCCTGAAAGCGTCAAGTTCTAGCACGCGCGCGGTAGGGGTTATCGAATTCCTCGCGCACAAAAAGGCCACTTCACGCCTCCAGGGGATTCCTTTTAAACACGTTCGACTGGGAGGAGGCGCCTCGAGTTTTTCCCGAGAACTCATCTCCTTACAGAACGCGCACGCGATGAGCAAGGCACGCTTCGACGGGCCCCTAAAAATATCGCTCACGACAGCGTGCCGTCCACGTTTGCCAAAAGCAGACTCGTGCGGTCCGTGCACAAATACGCGCGTACGAACGGCGTCGTCGTCCTTGGGTGCCCCGCGTCGGACACACGTGCAGTGCCGAGGCAACGGTCATCCGGCTCTTTATGTTTTTTTTTTTGTTTTATCACGTTCTGCCTATGCAGGCACTTGGGCAATCTTCCCCGCGAGCTGCCACTATACGTCGTTCTAAACGCTCCTCATCAGACACGCCGGATGGACGCCACCGGACGCGATATATATATATATATTTTTTTTCCCGGTCTAAGGCACGACGACACAACGCGCGCCCAGTGTGTGTGCATAAGGTCCGAGCGACAGCGCCAATCACCCGACGGCGAGAAACGAAATACGAAAATCGTTTCGCGACCCGGCCTTAGCCTAGTTTTTCTGGTTTCCGCGCTGCGCAGTAAAAAAAAAAAAAATTACTGACGAATGCGACCATCATGAGCGTTTCCTGATGGACCAGTGGATAAAGACTTACTAATGGGTAGGGGAAACAATCGCATGCCGCGCACCACAATGCGACGTCAGAAGAGACGGCGCGTCGATTTCGCCGTCGCTCCAATGCGCGCGGAGTCAACGCCGAAATTTCATTCGCCACTAAGCGGCTGAGGTCACCACGGAGTGACCCCCGCCTAAAACGACTCGCCGATCAAACGGGAGGGTAACGTTAATTTGTCACGGTATTCTCGAATCACTTAGTCCTATGATTACTTTCCCTCTTCCGTGACGTCGAGTCCTACCCACTCACTGGAACGCGGGACATTATATGCACTTATGTAGCCAATTCTGAAAGAAATGTTTCCACAAGTGATAAACAACAATAAGTAACCCGGCCTTAATTCGGTGCTAGGCCCAATTGTCAAAACGCAATACTTTTTTAAAACTACAAGTGGCGCGGAAGGCCTATTATAGTTGCAGACACTTCGGCCAAAGTGTGTTTGCCGATGCAGGAATCCCGTAAACACGAAGTCAACCAAAACATGATTATAAAAGAGCGTGCCCCAAATTACGCTATCAGCGGTTATATCTTTGCGCAACTATAAAGTGTTATTCATGGCTTACATGTATTCATAAAACAGTTAGTCGGCTTGTATTTTGACAGCCGTCGGCTAACCACCGTAGGCCCCGCCGCGGTGGTCTAGTGGCTAAGGTACTCGGCTGCTGACCCGCAGGGCGCGTGTTCGAATCCCGGCTGCGGCGGCTGCATTTCCGATGGAGGCGGAAATGTTGTAGGCCCGTGTACTCAGATTTGGGTGCACGTTAAAGAACCCCAGGTGGTCAAAATTTCCGGAGCCCTCCACTACGGCGTCTCTCATAATCAAATGGTGGTTTTGGGACGTTAAACCCCACAAATCAATCAATTAACCACCGTAGCGAATAAAACTGCGAAAATCAATGACGAATACTTTAGCCAAACGACAAAAACTGCCTACGCAGTCAACTATACACATATCGAACGAAGGTTTAACAGTATACGCGTGACGCCAAGTCGTGAAACGGGCGTTAACGGAATACAAATACGTGCGGTGACGCTATGCACGGCTTAATTCCCAACCGGAAGCTAATTCGGACAGGCAGTTGCGAAGCACTTACTTCCATAGAGTTTCCCACAACACTAACTAGAGGGAACTCTGGCGCTAGTGTCTATGGGAGTTGCAACACACGGCGCTTCAGAGAGCGTGGGAACGATGGGTAGTACACACATTTGTCTAGTTTTCGTACTTCTGGCCTGCTTCTGGCTCCGTGTGTGTTCGTGCGGCTTGGAGCTGTTTTTTCTTCACGAAAACATAAATTAGCAAATGTTCACCGTTTGCGCTTCAAAATTTGATTTCTTTAAGCTTGATTGATTGATTGATATGCGGGGTTTAACGTCCCAAAACCACTATATGATTATGAGAGACGCCGTAGTGGAGGGCTCCGGAAATTTAGACCACCTGGGGTTATTTAACGTGCACCCAAATCTGAGCACACGAGCCTACAACATTTCCGCTTCCATCGGAAATGCAGCCGCCGCAGCCGGGATTCGAACCCGCGCCCTTTAAGCTTACCATTTCGAATCAAGTCCCTAAGTTCAAAAGGATTTGTTCTTTCTTTGAAAACAAAACCGAAACACAGCAATAAGCGAAGCCGCAAGTACGATTCGCCGCCCGCAAGTACGAAGACGACTAGGCAAATGTGCGTACTACCCGTCATTCCCGTGGTCGCCGAACGATCGCAGCGCCAGAGTGGTGCCCTCTAGTTAATTTTGGGGAAACTCTATATGCCCACTTCCACCAGTGATCACCAATGACGCGGTGCATTCGGTCACGACAGTGCCACGGCACGGCGTCGGCCTGACGCAAGCGTGGATCTGTCGTCGGGCCGAGGCGCACGACCGATTCGCTCTTCGTGCGTGCCATCGTCCGCCTCCGGGTTGGAGGAGCATTTCTTTTTCCCACCGGACCGGACACGACCGCGTCCTCCAAGCCAAGGCCAGAAGATGCGCGCCGTACACGACCCGATGGAGAAACGTCGAAGAGCTCACAATTAAGCAACGCAGCGAAGGGGGTCGCCATTTGCGGCTAGTCAGCTCCCCGCGTCGCCTCCGCGTCCTCGCAGCTCTCTCGGTTGCCAGCAAGCAAGAAAAACAAAAAGAACAAAAAACGTGGAGAGCGGTGCACCAGCCAGACACACTCGAGGCGCTAGTCTCTCAACCTCGCTTAAACCTAATCTGCACCCCACACATCGTCTCATCGGAAACAGCTAACGGGTTCCCAACGTAATGACTACTTTTTCCCAGCCGTTTAAAGCTCTCCTCTCCCACTTGTAGTTATAACGCAAGATTAACGGTCAGCCATTGCAGTACAAATCACCCTGATAATATATTATCAATATACAGGACTTTACACCCCGAAATCATCCATAATTCAAGAGGAACGCCGTATATAGTGGAGGGCTCCGGAAATTTCGACCACCTGGTGTTCCTTATTATGCACTGGCATCGCGCATTACACGGGGCCTGTGCACAAATTTCGCCTCCGTCGAAATGGGACCACCACCGCGGCCGGCATCAAACCCGCAACCTTCGAGTCATGCTGCCGAGCACCGCAGTCGCCGGCGGCAGACACGAATCATCATAAGGTACAAAACGCATACTTAACACTTCAGTAGTAGTAGTAGAGAGGGACGTATAGACCCGTTCGCAGTTTACAAACACATGTCCTTGATGGCATACGGTGTCATCCACCGATGTGCCATAATAGCATCGGTGAGCAACAAGAGCTTTAGAAAATAGCCAGCTCATTTTCTGATCTTTTTCTCCCTTATTTGGCAGAACATATTCAAATAAATGTTCTTTTGAGCTACATAAGATATTGCCTTGAACTTTGCGCCCAATTTCTTTTATCTGAAAAGCTAATGAGATATTTTCCTTAACCTATAGAAAAAACAACAACTTGAAAACGCGCTTTCAGTTTCGACGTTAGGAGCTGGTGAATCAGGTAACCGGAAGCTTGTGAGGGTACAACGCTTGCAATCTTGAAACCAATCCATACGGCTTCCAGAACGCCAAATGCACCACGGCTGCTAACATAATCAGCGACACGAAACGCTACATCCCCAAACTGTTCAAGCTCGAAAAGAGGCCCCCTCGCGTAGTGCCAGTCCGTCTCGATTGATATGTGGGGTTTAACGTCCCAAAACCACTATATGATTATGAGAGACGCCGTAGTGGAGGGCTCCGGAAATTTGGACCACCTGGGGTTCTTTAACGTGCACCCAAATCTGAGCACACGGGCCTACAACATTTCTGCCAGTCCGTCTCACTGTGACGCGAAACGTCAGAACACGCCGCTGGCGATGCCGCAATGGTGCGGACCAACGCAGGAATAAAACCATCGTAAGCACACTCCTCTTAGTTGCGCAACTATGCTACGAGCCAGTGTCGTACAGACGAACTCCACTCCGCGGACCCTTCGGCTACCGGACGCGATAAGAAGGTCGAAACACAGCGGGACTGCCCGCACCATCTGGTGGCGCGCGGCGCAGGAGAGGCGGGCGGCCAAGAAATGTACACGACATGGTAAGAGAGCAAGGAAAACACGAGGAGGGGCTTCGAGTAGAGGGGGGGGGGGGGGATAAACGAAGTATACGACATTTCGCGGAAAGACCTTTAACCCATTAACGCTGGCCCACGGAGAACGGAGCTGATCCCGGGGATGGATGTAACGCACACATTTC